GCGGGCAGACACCGCTGCTCTGCTCCCATTTCCCAGCCAGCTGCAGGGATGGGGGGGGATTTTTCCCTTGGATTCAGGCTGAGCTTGATATATTTTATTATTCTTATTTTTAAGCAAGTTGTTTCCTAGAGGGGACCCTGCGGGAGCTCATTAGAGATCACAGGGTGGTTTTAGAGCGCTGGGAGGAAGGATGCTCTCCCCCATCGGCACACAGGGATGCAGACTCCGAGCCCGTTTCCCCCGGGAGCATCATTGCCGCCGGCCGGGAATCCCTTTGGGCTAAAAATTGCCAAATTCATTTTCCTTCCATTTATGTAGAAAACTCCCAATTCACCTGTCAAATAATTAAATGGGCCAGCAGCCCAGCACCACCTCGGCTGCTCCATCAGGAGAGTTCTACACTTTCTATATTTATCAGCAGCATCAGTGCAATTTCCTCCCCCCTACCTCTTAAAACGGAGCAATTTTCTCTTTTTATCCCCATTTGCTTTTCTCATCAAGGCGGTTATTTGACACTTAAAGCGACATGATGACTGAAATTGCAGGAATTAGAGCTAGCAACCGCTCTGCCTGCCTGCGTTTCCTTTGAGCACCCAAAGAGTTAGGGATAAGCAAATGGAGCAGCAGCTTGGGAAACCTCTTGAGGATCTGGCTTCTCCATTTTAGCTAAGAAAACATGAATTGCCACCCTGCACTCATCCATTTCCATGCCAGATCTCCACCGGGGCAGGGAGAAGCATGTGGAGAACAGGACGTTTGGACCAAGCAGCCTCAGGTCCTCAGTGTTATTTAGGGAACATCATTTCCTTTCAATACATCACTAAAACCATTCATTCTCACACTCCCAAAAGTCATCTTTCAGCAAATCAAAGCTCTGCAAGCAGCACCCCAAAGCCGTTTGCTTCAGGCCGCCTTTACCCTGGTCCCTCCGGCACAGGAATGATGCAGGGATGCGGAGGAAGGCAAAGTCCCCGATGAACCCGTCAAGGCGCGCTCCTCCCCAGGCTGACAGCTTTTCAAAGCCCTACAAATTGCTCACCAGAGCAGCGTTATTCATCTCTGCCACATCCTGGGGCGAGCCCTGTCAGCAAAGTTTGTTTTTCAGCCTCATTGGGCTTTCAGTGAGTGGAGGCAGGCCCAGCCCCTCACCCTGTTGTCAGGGCTGGACCCCTTCCGCCCTGCCTGTGATGGCTGCTGTCACTGGGATGAGTGATGGATGAGCTGGCCAGGCGACACGTGCCATCCATCACCCGCTAACAGAGACCTCTGCCCCAGCTCTGCTCCCCGGTAATGGGAGGACAGAAGCTTTTATCCACCATCATCACTCGGTGAGATGGGGCACATGGTGAGGGCAGCTGCATCCAGCACAAGCATCCTTGCCCTGCCTTGCAGCCCTGCTGCCCCCATCACTGCAGAGAGGATCATGGAATGGTTTGGGTTGGAAAGGAACTTAAAATCACCCAGTTCCAACCCCTGCCACGGGCAGGGACCCCTTCCACTAGAGCAGCTTGCTCCAAGCCCTGTCCAGCCTGGCCTTGAGCCCTGCCATGGACACAAACTCAATGTCTCTCACCCAAACCAGCCCCTCGGCAGAGCCAGATGGTTGAGCCAGGCTTGCAATGGGGTCTGGGTTGGCTTTGAAGCAGTCAGCAGACCCCAGGGCTGCGCTCTGCTCCCCACCAAAAGGCAGTGGAGCCGGCAAGTGAACTCAGTTCACAGCCTGTCATCCACATCTGGATGGGGAAAGGGTTCCTGGGATCCCCTCTGCAGGCAATAAGGAGGCTCCAGCTTGAACCCACCCCAAAAAGGGGCCAAGCAGTGCAGCTGTGGCTCAGACCCTTCCAGATCCCTGTGCCTGAAGTACAGTCACTGCTTTGCTTTCTGTATCCTGCTTAAAGAAACAAAGGGACGGTTTTTGCTCATCCCTGGGATTTATGTTACACCACACACGCTTTCCTAGGGAAACTGTAGCTTCATGGGGAATCCAAAGGGATGAAACAAAGCACAATCAGGCCCAGGGGTGGGTTTGGTCCCATTTTTCAGACCTATCGAAGCTCCACGAGTCACAGTCAGCCTTGCATGGCACGGATGGGGTGGGCTGACCACGGGAAGCACCAGCTTCCTGATACCCCGCTGCTCTTCCAGGGTGGGAAACAAGCTGTGTGCAAACCCATTTGTTTGCTGCGATTCCTTGTACCCCGACAGCAGCAGATTGCTGTGTTGGGATGGGTGCCTCGCTGCCAGCTGGTCCAGGGAGACTGGAAACAAACCAGCTTGCAACCAAGCCCAAGTGCCAAGGAGATCTCCCAGAGCTGGCTCCCTATCCCCAGCTCCACGTGGACCTGCTGCCTGTGAAACGGGAGCAGTTCCCAGGGGAAGGGACGGACTTCTGCTGACCTGGGGGCTGAGTCCCCATAACTGAGCCCTGTGCTCTGCTGCCGGGCCCCCAAGGGTCCTGGTGAGCCCAGTCCCAGCCTCCATCCCTGCCAGGCTGGGGGGGGGCGAAGTGTTTTGGGTTGGAAGGGGCCTTAAAGCTCCTCCAGTCCCAACCCCTGCCACGGGCAGGGACACCTTCCCCTAGAGCAGCTTGCTCCAAGCCCCTGTGTCCAACCTGGCCTTGAACACTGCCAGGGATGGGGCAGCCACAGCTTCTCTGGGCACCCTGTGCCAGCGCCTCAGCACCCTCACAGGGAAGAGCTTCTGCCTAAGAGCTCAGCTCAGTCTCCCCTCGGGCAGGTTAAAGCCATTCCACTTGGCCTGGCCCTACAGGGCAGTATCCCAGGGGCTGACGGCTCCACACAGTGACTGAGAGATCATCCATGGCACACAATCGATCTGCTGGTGCCATGACCAGGTTCTGGGACAATGAGGGAGCCGTCTGGCTCCGCAACACACACAAGGCATTTGAAGAGCCAACAGAGCCTCCTGCTTCGTGCCTCGGAATACATTATCCACAGGTTGCGGGGAGATGAGAAAAATCGTTATCCCCGTGACTTGGCCTTTCATGTGGAGCTCAGCACCCATCCATCACCCCCACTGCCCTGCAGATGAGATGCTCAGCACAGAGGCAGCATCAAGGAGCTGGTCTCCCGCTGGGATGCGCCCTCATGTCTTTGCCATTGGGGAAAGCAAAACAGATGGATGCAATACACGGATACTCATCCAAGCAGCAGCCCTGCTCTCAGGGACCCCTCGCTCCTCTGAAGTTGCCCCTCAGCATCATTGACTCCCCAAACCATCGATCACACGAGTCCTGCCTGAATTCAGGACGCTTTTTAGGCTTTCGAATTTCAGCTTAGGGCTCATCTTCAGTGTGTGCTGCGGGCTCAACACATGATGCTTTGAGATGCACGTTTGGACCACCAAGAACTAAACCAGCTCCGGACTGACAAGCAGCTCCCATAACTTCAACTCTCCCGGGACTGCAGCATCCCAGGAGTGCTTTAGGAGATTAAACCCCCCCCCCCCCCAGCTCCACCTGGTCCACCCCTTTCCCCATAACCGCCCTCCAACCCATTTTCCATCACTCCAGCCCCCCAGTGGGCCCGGGAGCCAACAGCCTCCCTGCTGCTCTGCTTTTAATTCCTAAATAAACCCCATCCTGGCACATACTTGCTGGGTGACATCAGCAGCAGGTGATTTATCGCATTCCCTCCGGGGGCCCAGCAGCACAATTGCATTTGCTAATGCCTCCTCCTCGCCTTGACGCCCCTGGCGCGGCTCCGCATCCCGCTCCGCATCTCAGCCGATTGCCATCGATTTCAGCAGCTCCAAAGAGTTTCCGTCTAGACGTTTGCTGAGCAAACTCAATCAGGTCTCGCTAATCAGCCTTTCTGGGCAGTAAATCTGCAGCTGATCAGAGCAGGGATAGCACATCCAAGTGCTGGGAAGGGCGAGGAGTTGCTCCAGGGGCCGGAGATGCTCAGCATCCTGCCTGCGGCACAAGGAGCAGGCAGCTGCCCTGGAGAGCAGCTCAGCAGGGCTGGAGCACTCCCATGTGAAACACATGGACCAAGTGCCCCAGAGGCATCAGCAACACGTTTATCTCGTACAAGGGATGGAGCTGAGGCATGAAGGTGCCCTGCACTGCAGCAGCAGGGTACCCTGCAGGGGAGAGGGATGTCAAGCTAAGTTTTACCCCACAACACTACCAATGCAGTCACCAGGACCAAGAAGCACACTGAGGACATCCTTGTGATAGGAGCCACCACCTGTGGAGACCCTTGTCACGTCACCACAGGACCCCTTAGCTCCGTGCTCAGTAAGGGCCACCAGCCCCATCCCTGAGGCAGCAGCATTTGCTGCAGAAGACCTTGCCATCGAGCCCACCATGCCCACTGGAAAACATGGGGCACTCCCTGGAAGGGGAAGAGAGCCCAGAGGATGCCTGGGGAGGGTTCATAAGATCAAGCCCATCTCCGGTGCTGTAATCCAGCTTCCCCAAGCAATGTTTTCACAGGTGTATGAGACACTTCAGAGCAGCGTGGACAACGCCTTCATCAGTGGACCTGTTATTCTTACAGCGAGATGCAGGAAACGGAGCCCCTGGTGTAAGGGTTGTCTTATTTTCCTTTATTTAGTCAGCTTTTAACGTAACTAAGGGGCAAGAAATACAGATTATGTCAGCCCTGCCCTATGGCTTCTAGAACTTCTAAACTCCAAGGTTTTAGGAGTCTACGTTGGAGCTGCAAGATGAAATACTTAAGTCAACTGCAGATGCCAGGAAAACTGCTTCTAGGTGACACCATCCCTTGCCTGGGGACAGCAGCAATGCCTTTTGGTATTAGAAGGGCAAGGTTTGGTGTCTCATTTCCCCATCTCCACAGCCAGGCCAGGGATGCAATGGCCTGGGAGCAGGAGCAGCACTGGTACCCACGCTGAGCAGGGAAAGGGTGGAGGTGACCTTGTCCCCTTGCACCCCAGGCTCTAATGGGAAGCTACTCTGAGTAATAGCACCACATCCTATTCAGGATGGTGTCTTCTCCACCGGCTGCACTCACCTGCACTGGAGAAGAGGCCAGATCCGGGCTGGAGCCTGGCGAGGAGAGGTGGAAGCTGCTGCAGCTCAGTGCAGCGGGCACAGCCACCGAGGAAGAGGAGGAGGAAGAGGAAGGATGCTCATCTGCTGAGCCACTCGGGAGCTCCGGGGAGGAGCCAAGTGCAGGGCCAGCCTGCAGCCTCTGTGGGTAGGAGGAAGGACTTGGAGACCCAGCTCGGTGCTCCAGCATCCCTTTTCCCAGTCCTGCCCATAGCATCCCCCCCATACCCCAGACACACTCCTCTGCATCCCAGCTCCATCCTCTAACATGTGGGCTTAGGAATGCACCCTTCAAGGGGAAATCTTTTCCTTGCCACCAAAACAGCCATAACCACCCCAAAACCATTTATTTGAGACTTAGAGACCCCGTGATCCCTAGGGATTGCTGCTCCACAGCCCCAGCTGTCTCAGGAAGAGGGGAGAAACCCCCCAAACCTATTCTTATTAAAAAATGAGCTTATCAATGAATCTCTCAGCAGCCCAGCCCTCCCTCCATCCTTTATAGAGAGCTCCCACCCACTCCCAGCTGCCTCTGATGGGGACTGGCTGCTTGCAGCCCTTAAGAGTGGAGGATAGAGGAGGCTACAGTGATGCTGTGGGGTGCATCTCCCTTGGGGTAGGAGGTCTCTGTTGGAGGGGGCTGCCCTGCACCTGCTGGGAAGGTGAGGGTGATTCAGAAGGCTTGGAGGTTCTGGTCCTACTGTGGGTGAGGTCTGGCATAAGCTGTAGGCCTTATCTTTAGTAGGGGATGGTTAACGCTGTGCAGCAGCAAGCTGGGGTGGGCAGAGCCAGGTGAGTACCCCATAAAGGCTCTTCTCCTACAGCTCTGAGCATGGTTTGACTGCAGGATCCACCTTCCTGGCATTGCTTGTGTGATTGTTGTCCCACCAAGACCTTGCCTGTACTTTGAACTTATCCCACCTTGCTCCTGCCCTGGATAAAGATGCTCCCTAACTATGGTTGTAGGCAGGGGGCAGGCATCAGGTTTCTACCCAGAGGAATGAGAGAGGGGAAACTGAGGTAGGGGAGTGCTCTTTACCAAAGACACTCCTGGAGGCTATGGAGATCTCTCTCTTTGTGCTTCCTACTCCAATTGGTGCCTATGTGGAGCCATCTAGCTACGCTAGGGCTAAATCCTGTCCAAACCAGCCTAGTCTGCTCTTGTTTACCTGGAGCATGGCATCTCCAGCCCCCAAATCCATGCCCCCCTACCTGTGGGGAGAAGGCATGACCTTCAGTGGGCAGCGAGTGATAAGCAGACTCTGGTGTATGGAGCAAGCGGCTGGATGCAGGGATGTCCAGGGCTGGGGATGCTGCTGCGGGGCTTGCTGCTTGCTGGTCCTCCTGGGTGCTGGGGGACAGTGATGTGGGTACCACCAGTGCAGAGGGTGCGCGGTGCTCGTGCAGGGATGCGGTGAAGGCCATGCGGCCGCAGTGCATCGCCGGCTGCTTGCTGCCCACCCGCAGCAGAGCCATCACCCCGCTGTAGCGGTACCAGTCCTCGTCCCGCCCGGCAGAGAGCTTCATGTGGGGCTGGTTGGGCCGGGGGTAGATGGCAAAGAAGGCTTCACCCACCTGCCTGCTCCTGCCCGGCCCCTCTGCCCTCCGGGGGATGCGCAGGGCTTCAATGTGGAGCCGCACGTCGTGGTTCTCGTCGTTCTTGCAGAAACCTGCCAGGACCAGCATGGGGTGAGGCTTCCTCAGGCAGCTCCTGGCCCCAGGAGCATCCCCTGGGCTTGTCCATCAGCAGCACTGGTTATCCCTGCCCTGTGAGCACACCCAAGGGGGTATCCAGCCTGGATCTTAAGGTCCTTTCCAACCCTAACTATTCTATGATGTGTCTACATCTTGGGTGGGGAATGTTTGCATCGTTGGGGTGTTGGTCCCACTCTGCAAGCTGGAGCTGCCCCATCCACCCCACTAAGCTCAGGCAGTTTTGATTGGGCGCCAGCTCAGGGTTGTGGTACAAGGGGGTTGTAAGCCTGAGACAAGCTGTGCTTGCTATAGTAACTGTAAGGCTCAGGGGGGACCTGATCGATCCCTTCAACTGCCTGACAAGAGGATGGAGCCAGGAGGGGCTGGGCTCTGCTCCCAAGGAACAAGGGATGGGACAAGAGGAAACGGCCTCAAGCTGCACCAGGGCAGGTTTAGATGGAGCTGAGGAACAATTCCTTCCCCAGAGGGTGCTCAGGCATTGGAACAGGCTGCCCAGGGCAGGGCTGCAGTCACCGTCCCTGCAAGTGCTCACACAGCGTGGAGACGAGGCCTCAGTGCCGTGGGTTAGTGGTGGCCTTGGCAGTGCTGGGAACGGTTGGGCTGGATGAGCTGAAAGGGCTTTTCCAACCCTGGTTGATTCCATGATTGGATGCTGCAGAGCCGTGCTCCTGTGCCACCTCCCCTGCCAGGAACCCCCATGGCACCCAGCCCCTTACCTCTGGGCAGGGTGAAGGTGAATTTCCTCCTCTGGAAGCAGTAGAGCTGGTGGAGGTCCCTCTGCTCGATGGTGTCGGTGGTGCTGGTGCTGCCCTGGGTGACCTCCCCGCTGTTGACACGCAGCTGGATGCCAGCGCTGGAGCCCTGCAGCAGGGGGTTCTCCACCGTGAGCCTCAGGGCATAGCGGCCCCGCTGGTTAAACTGGGCGCTGAGCACCTCAAACTCGAAGTCCAGGGTCTTCTCCTCAGCCTTCAGCCGGGAGCGCTGCAGGGGCAGGGGGACGTGAGGCTCCCTTGCCCTGCCCAGCATGGGGATGGAGGTGGGATCTGGATGTAAACCCTCCTCGTTAGCAGCGATCCTGCAGGTCTCTGCCCCAGAGCAAGCCCCTGGGGTGGGTTTCTGAGCCAAGCTGGCTCTGCTGCTGCTCTTCCCTTCTTCCCAGCAGGGAAAGCGCCTGGGGGTGCTCCTGGGTACGTGTTGGCTTCACATCTCTGCAGGCAGCTTTCAAAGGCAGCAAGAGAAGGGAAGAGATCCCTGTCCTTGAAAAAGCATCCTTTGGTGCCACGGGGAGATGCTGAGAGCTTTGCTGCCCCTGGGCAATGGCAGGCACAAGGGCTTGCAACTGCAGTTTGTTTGTTGGGGATCCAGGTAACAAGATGTAAAGCAGTGGCTGCCTTCCAGCAAACAACCTGGGATATCCAGGGTGATGCTGAGCAGCGCAACACGCGTGGGTGTGCATACAGGGTGTGCTGGTAGGTGCGTGCATCCTTGCAGAGGGGAATCAACGGCTCCTTGAGCCCTTTTCCCTGTGAAGCTCACCACAAAAGGTGTTTGCTGGACGTTGCAGAGCCTTTGGGAGATGCTGGTGTTGAGGATGGTGCAAGCCAAGCAGGTTGCTTCCATGTGGTGTTGACTCCGGTGGGACAGTCCTGCTCCTCCTGCACCCCTGGGCTGTTTGCTGACCTCCTGCTGATGGGACGGGGCAGCCAAGCCTGCACTGGTGCTCTGGGGTTTGTCTTTGGGGCAAGTGTGCCTTTGCTGGTGGCACAGGGTCAGGTAAGCCAAGGGAGAGGCATGGGGTGAGCCTATGTAGCCGTGCTTGGCTGTTAGATCAGCTCCCCAAAGGGATCGGGGCATTCAGCCACCTAATCCTAACCCCTGCTCACTTTGCAGACAAGCCCAGAGCAGAAGTTGCCCAACGGCTCGAAGCATCTACACAACAAGCAGATGCAATGGCTCTTTACAAGCACAGCTCAGACGGGCATTTGCAGCCCTGCTGGGCTTTGGGCACCAAAGGATTGACCCAGTGCTGGGATCTTGCTGCTGCAGTGAGGGCTGGGGATGGCTGAAGGGGAACTGAGGCTGGTGGGGTGCCTGAATGCTTGTCTGGGGCCTTCCAGGGGTGATGCCCTTCATCAGAGCTGGCTGCAAAGTGGTTTTGCTTTCCTCCAGCTCAGCAGTGCATGGGCTGCTCTTTCCTACATGGGTGCATGTTTCCTGCTGGTGCAGCTGGAGCTGAGCTCCTTCGCCTGCTGAACCAGCTGAGCATGTGGACCTCAGTCCCACCATGGGTATCTGGGGACTGACATCAAGGGGCCGAGGGTCTGGGGTGGGCAGGAGCTGGAACAGCACAGCCTGATCCTCACCAGGAGCCCCTGGCCCTGTCAGATCTCATTCCTCCATTGCCGCTGGGAATAGCGCGTTCCCACAGCTTTCGGGATGCTCCCAGTGAACCGTGAGCCGGAGCCGGGGTAGCAGATGGCCCTTCTCTGAGACAGCTCTGTATAAAACCCACATTCCAGTCTCTTCACGCTGGTGCGAGCTTGAAACAACAACATTATCCTCGGGGAGAGGGCTGGGGGATACACCGAGCACCTGAGGCCATGGGGCATAAGACTTTGGCTATGGGAGAACCCCAGGGGCCTTGTGAGGCATTCAAGACCTGTCTCAAAATCACTGCCTCCAAGGAGCCCTTTGGTAGGGCACAGGATGGACCCAGTAAAAACAAATCCTGGTCTCCCACACCTCCATGGTGCTTCCAAGGAGGCTGGTTGGACCTTCTGGAGCTTCCTCAGCTTCTATTTGGGAAGGAAAAATACAGGCTGCGGTACCAAACACAACCTTGGCTGATGCATTTGCTGTGGTGAAGATGCTGCGGAGGTCAGGATGAGGACAGGAGGGAAATGGGTCCTAATCCAAGGGGGTTGGGGCACTGAGTTGGGTTTAAAGCAGGAGGAAATGGTGCTGTGTGTGGTGCTAAGCATGAGCTGGTGCAATGGGGAAGGGGGGGGAGTCATTCCCCTGCCAGTCAAGCCTGTCGGGAAGCGTACTGGTGTCTCTGGGGTGCATGGATGTGCTGATGGCTGGGTTGCTTCCTTGTGAATGCTGCGAGCATAAATGCTTTTAGCTCTGTTGGAGGACTTGGTGGTTCCTTCCCTTGATGGCTGGAGACTGCTCAGTGCTCCCAGAGCAGAGCTGTGCTGGGCCAAGGTGGTTTCTCCCCATCGAGAGCTCAGGGTTAGCTTGAATTGCCTGTGTATGTGATGCTGCTCTGAGCCGTTTCACCTGCAAAACCCTGGCCATCTGGGCTGTTAGTTACACTTGGGGATGCCACTGCTGTGCAGAATGCCTTCTGAAGGGACTTGCTCCATCCCTCCCTTTGCACCCCAAACCGTAGTGGGGACCCTGTGCCGCTTCCATGGGGCACAGCAGCAGGAATTACTGTGATCATATTGGTGCCTGTGTGAAGGATCTCCAGCTCCCAAATGCTTCTGAATGTTTCCTCTGCCTCAATTAAAACCCTGCAGGCTCTAATGCGGGCAAATGGGAGCTATTTCAGCCTTAACTAGCAGGCTTAATTTCCTTGTGCAAACACATTACAGAGCCACCGTTAATGACAGCATCATCAAAGGCTCATTTGCCCGCCATCCGATCTCAGGCACAGTTCATTCATGCAGCATTTCCCCAGCTGTACCAAAGGTGGATGTGCAGCAGGTCTGGAGGTGCCACCTCCATCGTCTTAACATGGCAAACCTGGGGCTGAGACCTTCCCAAAACTAAATCCCAGTTCCCATGGCTCTGTTGGGAGTGAAGTTGCTTCCTAGGACAGTGTGAAGTCTGCTTTTGGCAAACTGGATGTAAAGTGAAAGGTGGCCTTCGGCTGGAGCCCTGTCTGGTCAGCTCTATGTCTGGGTTTGGAAAGCTGTGTAATGGTGACAAGACCTGCATGGTTTGGCCAAAAATGGGTTCCTCAATGTAAAAGCCCTTTCCTTTATGGAAGGGTCCCCATTGGCACAGTGAGAGGCTGTGATTTGCTCCTGAATCTCAATGCTCCAGCGCACCTTACCCACTGTTACAGGGCAAAACAGGCTCAGGACATCAGTGCATGGAAGGAGATTCTTCTCCATCAGCAGAAAAGGGATCTGGGAGACAGCTTATGGTGTAGGGAAGAGGCCAAGGATGTATGTGGTGAGGAGCTCTGCAGCCTTCAGGTGCTGCTTAGGGTTGGGAGAGGTGTCGGAAGCAGGAAACCCATCCTGTGTCCATAGCTATCCAGCACAAGCAGCACCAGCTCTTCTTTCTAAACCTTTCCCTAATCCTTCAGTTTTCCCAGGAAGCAATCCCAGGGAAGGGAGTTAAAAACACCCCAACCAACCAACCAAGCCTGCAGGTCAGTTTGTTCAGCATTGCCACAAGGTTTTGGCTAAAAATTAAGCTAAATCTTCAACCTGGATTAATTTTCCTCTGCTGCGCTTGCTGTCACATGTATGTCACTTACATGTCACATGCTGTGTGTGTGTTTGTCCAGATTATAGCCTTTGCTTGTACACTGCTGTCTCCTGCACTGAGTGTAGCTGGTGGGGAGGATGTGTTGGCCAAGGAGAAGATGGATAAAGACAGTGTGGCAAGGTTACCTGGTCCTCCCAGCTGCCTGCACCCACTCCTGGGGCAAAGCATCCCCCAGAGTATCCCTTTCTAACCTCCTCCAGGCTGTTTCCCACTGCTGTGTGCCCATCACCCTCTGAGCTCTGGGCAGTACCTGGCCATTTCCAAGGGGGATGCTTTGGTGTTGGTGTTCCCCAAGCTTGACCCAACCCCAAACTTCCCTTCCCTGTTCCAAACCCTCCCAGATCACACACAGCCACAGGATTTGGGTGAAGGATCAGGCTCCAGGTCCTACACCCACTCAGAGCTGGCCCTTTGCTTTGTCTTAGGAGAAAGCAGCGATGTTTGCATCCCATGGAGGGGGGACGCACAGCAGCATCTCAACCCCTTGGGCTCCCCCCCTAAACCTCAGCCCAGGCTCGGAGGGAGCAGCCACAACCCAGCTGAGCCTGCGGAGAGCTGGGGAAGAAGGGGGCTGGCCCAAGCTGCCTCCTGTGCCGAAAAGCTCTGCCTAATCAAAGGGAGAGCGGAGCACGGGGTTGGTTGCTTTTCGTTTCCTAAACCCCAGGGTGGCCCCCAGCCAAGGCCTCCTGGCGATGGAGGGGATAAAGTTCCCTGAGCCTCGGCAGCCTCCGCGCGCTCCCGGTGCGCTGAACTTTGCCTCTAAGCTTGCTTGGCTGCATCCGCGCCTGATGCTTTAGACCCCGCTTAGCGAGGCCACGCTTCTCCTGGGACCCCCATTGGGCCAAGCCTCGGGTGCCCTGCCAGGAGGTGGCTGGTTGGAAGAAGGTAACTTCTTGTTGTTGTCTTTCCTCTTCTCCCCCTCCTTTTCCATCCTTGCAAACTTGGCATCATGAGCCCGTGGGGTTGCTTGTGCCAGGTTGGGAATGTGCGCTTCAATCTACAGCAAATTGGGGGGGGGCAAATCCTGCTCTGGGGCTGCAGGACCCACACCCTCCCCAAATCTCAGCTCTGCCCTTAACCTTAAGCAGGGATTTTGCTTCCCTGTTGGGAAGCAATCCGGGGGGGGGGGGGGGGGAGGAAGCTTTTCCTGGGGATGCTCGCTCCCCCCAGCATGGCAGGAGGGGAGGTTATGGGGTGCTCTGCCCCTAAGCCTCCCCCCGGAGCTGCTCTCCGTGCCACGGATGGCTTTGTCAGCAGGTTTTGGTGCAGTTCTGCTAACTCCTGACACAGCAGAGGGGCTGTGTGTGCAGCAGGTGCCGCTGCCTTTGCTTTAAAATGAAGGGGTGGGGGGGTCTCAGGAGCCTAAAAATAACCTTAAAGAGCCTCCTCGGCTTAGATGTTGAAGCTGCCTTTGCTTTGGAAGTGCAAAAGGGGCTTCTTGGGCTTTGTGGGGAGAGTGTTTGTGATCTCTGTGGGGGATTGATTATCTGCAGGCTCCAGCTTGCAGGGAAAGGGTTTGGGAAGGGCTGGAGCGGCTCCATGGCTGAGGTCGGGGTGCAGGGGAGAAGC